CACATGAGCAATGTAAAGCACAATTGCCAGTTCTCACCCATGCCTGTTTGCTCAAAAGAGTGGAAAGAATGTTCTCCAGGATGTATTTGTACACCCGTGATCACAGAGATACCTACAATAGCCAAGGCTGTAAGAAAAGGAAGAGAGGGTAACCTTGTTCAAAAGCGATCAAATGATGTATCACATGGTGTTCACGGATGAGACTGTAGTATGTAGGGATGCACTACCAGTGAGGAAACTGAAGAACTGGGAGGAATGGTGCCTAGACAAGCCAGAACAGTGGTTATCTGCAGGAAACGGGAAGCTGTGGAGACTTTCAGAGCTTGTAGGGCTCCAGGAAACATTCCAGGTTGGTTTGTTGAAAATCAGGAGTAGAAGGGTTTCTGTTGTTGAGTGTGTTTGTTTTGGCATCTGTGTTTTGTTTTGGTTTTTTTTAGGGGGGGGTTAAAATAAAAGAAAGGGATTTGTGCTATGGAAAATAGTCTGACAACTCTTCATACAATTCTACCAAAATTCCCCCATGCCCCAGCGACTCTAGTTTTACAGGCGGCTCAGCAGATGCAGGGGCTTTCTCTCAAGCCTGACAACCTGAGCTCAGTCCCCCCAGAACCCATGCAGTGGAAGGAAGGAACCCACAAGTTGTTTGTCTTCTGGCATCCACAGTCACCCTACTGCATGCACTCGCACACATGAACACACACACAAAAATGTAATTTTTAAAAAATAGTTAAAGGCAAGGAATCAGATACTTATATACCAATGTCAATGTTCCATGAGCACTCTGCATGGTAACAAAAAAAATGAAACCATCAACAGAGGAACCAATGACTAAAATGCATTCTATGGCCTAGCTGTAAAAAGAAAGGGGATTCTCACACATTATACCATGGATGAACTACAAGGACATTGTGCTAAATGAAACAAAGCTAATTGCAGGCAAATACTGAACTATTATACTTGTAAATATTAGTTCACTTACAAAAATCTCAGCAGAAAGTAGAATTTGGTTGCCAGGGACTACAGGGAGAAAGAAGTGAAGATTTGTTCAAGTCGTTGCTGGCAGTGGGTGTGGTTACACACTGTGAATGAACTTGATGCCACTAAATTGAATGTTTTCAGTGTTTAAAACTGAATTGTTTTTAAGTAGTGAAAAACTGAAGGAAATTAGTTTTAGAAGCAGTCATTAAAAGTCTCCCAACCAAAAAAAGCCCAGGACCAGATGGCTTCAGCGCAGAACTCTACCAGAACTTCAAAGAAGAGCTAATACCAATACTACTCAAAATATTCCACATAATAGAAACAGAAGGAACATTGCCAAACTCCTTTTACAAGGTGACAGTTACCCTGATACCCAAGTCACAGAAATATAAAACAAAGATAGGGAATTATAGACCAATCTCCCTCATGAACATTGATGCAAAAATACCCAATAAAATACTGACAAACTGAATCCAAGAACACATCAAAAAAAAGCATCCCTCAAGATCAAGAAAGCTTCATCCCAGAGATGCAGAGTTGGTTCAACATATGGAAATCTGTCAATGTAATCTACTATATAAACAAACTGAAGAAAAAAAACATGATCATTTCATTAGATGCTGAAAAAGACTTCGACAAAATCCAACACTCCTTCATGATAAAGCTCTTGGAGAGAAGAGGGATCCAAGGAACATACCTAAACATAATAAAAAGCAATTTACAGCAAGCCAACAGCCAACATGAAGCTAAATGGGAAGAAACTCAAAGCAATTCCACTAAAATCAAGAACAAGACAAGGCTGTCCAGTCTTTCCATATCTATTCAATATTATACACAAAGTTCTAGGTAGAGTATTAAGACAGCAAAAGGAGATCAAGGGATAGAAGTCAAACTATCACATTTCACAGATGATATGATAGTATACATAAGTGGTCCCCAAAAGTCTACCCAGGAACTCCTACAACTGATAAACACCTTCAGTAATGTGACAAGATAAAAGATTAACTCAAAAAAAAACCCAATAGCCCTCTGATAAACAAAAGATAAATGAACCAAGATGATCTGGGATTTTCCCCTGTATTCTGTGAATAGCATTGGTTAATAAAGAAACTGTCTTGAGCCCATGACAGGGTAGAATAGAGCTAGGTGGGGAAAACTAAACTGAATGCTGGCACAAAGGAGGCAGAGTCAGTGAGACGTCATGTAGCCCCGCCAGAGACAGACATGCCAAAACTTTGGCAGTAAGACACAGCCACGTGGCAATACACAGATTACTAGAAATGAGTTAAGTTAATATGTAAAAGTTAGCCAATAAGAAGCTAGAGCTACTGGGCCAAGCTGTGATTTAGTTTGTACAGTTTCTGTGTGGTTATTTTGGGAGTCTAGGCAGCTGGGTAACAGCAGCTTCCTACAACACCAAGAAAGAAATAGAGAAACATCATCCTTTTTGTTTTTTTACAATAGCCAAACAAGTGAAAGAAATGTATGACAAGAACTTTAAGTTTCTAAAGAAATTGAAGAAGAAATCAGAAAATGGGAAGATCTCCCATGTTCTTGGATAGGTAGGATCAACATAAGAAAAATGTCAATCTTAACAAAAGCAATTTACAGATTCAGTGCAATCCCTATCAAAATCTCAACACAATTCTTCACAGACCTTAAAACAGAGTTACTCAACTTCATATGGAAAAATAAAAAGCCCAGACTAGCTATTATACAATCCTGTACAATAAAGGAACTTCTAAAGGCATCACCTTCCCTGACCTCAAACTCTATTATAGAGCTATAGTAATAAAAACAGCTTGGTGTTGGCATAAAAACAGACATGTGGATAAATGGAATTAAATGAAAGACACTGACATTAATCCATGCACATATGAATACCTGATTTTTGACAAAGAAGCCAAAAAGATACAATGGGAAAAGGAAAACCTCTTTAACAAATGGTGCTGGTATAACTGGATGTCAACATGTAGAAGACTGTAAATAGATCCGTGTCTGTTGTCTTGCACAAAGCTCAAGTTCAAGTGGATCAAGGACCTCAACATAAAGACGGTTACACTGAATCCAATAGAAGAAAAACTGGGAAGTAGCCTTGAATGCATTGGCACAGGAGACCACTTCCTAAATAGAACGCCAGTAGCACAGACCCTGAGAGTCAATCAATAAATGGGACCTCCTGACTTCTGTAAGGTAAAGGACACAGTAAACAAAACTACAGCCTACAAAATGGGAAAAGATCTTCACCGACCCCACATTTGACTGAGGGCTGATCTCCAAAATATATTTGACTAGACAATAAAATACCAAATAACCCAATTTAAAAATAAAATGGAGAGGTAAACAGAGAATTCTTGGTGTAGAAGTTTCTGTCTATGTGTTACTTTCATTGGTTAAATAAAGTGACTGCCTTGGCCTTTTGGTAGGGCAGAAAATTAGGTGGGCGGAGTAGACAGAACAGGATGCTGGGAGAGCCGCCATGGAGTAGCCAGAGTCAGACATGCTGAATCTTTCTCAGTAAGCCACGACCTCATGGTGACATACAGATTATTAGAAATGGATTGAATCAAGATGTGAGAGTTAGCCAATAAGAGGCTAGAACTAATGGGCCACGCAGTGTTTAATTAATTCAATTTCTGTGTAATTATTTCGGGTATAAGCTAGCCCGGTGGCCAGGAGCCGGGATGGAAAGCAGGCCCACGTCCTCTTACTACAAATTCTCAACAGAAGAAACTCAAATGGCCGAAAGACATTTAAGGAATTACTCAATATCCTTAATCATGGGGGAAATGCAAATGAAAATGACTCTGAGATACCATTTTATAACTGTCAGATTGGCTAAGATAAAAAATACTGAAAACAACTTATACTGGAGAGGATGTGAAGTCAGGGGAACACTTCTCCACTGTTAGTGGAAGTGCATTCTTATACAGCCATTCTGGAAATCAATATGGTGGTTTCTCAGAAAAGGGAATCGGTCTATCTCAAGACCCAGCAATATCTCTCTTGAGCATGTACCCAAAGGATGCTCAATCATACCACAAGGACACTTGCTCAACAATGTTCATAGCAGCATTATTCATAATAGCCAGAACCTGGAAACAACCTAGATGCCCCTCAACTGAAGAATGGATAAAGAAAATGTGATACATTTACACAGTAGAGTATTACTCAGCTCTAAAAACAAAACAAAACAACAACAACAAAAACCACAATGACATCGTGAAATCTGCAGGCAAATGGATGGAACTAGAAAAAAAAACATCCCGAGTGAGGTAACTCAGACCCAGGAAGACAAACATGCTATGTACTCACTCATAAGTGGATAGGAGATATAAAGCAAAGCAAAAGATAACCGGACTATGATCCATAGCTCCAGAGAATTGGGAGTGTAAGGGGCAGAGGGGAGGGTGGAAGGGGAAAGAGGGTAAGGAATGGGAGTGGGAAAAATATATAGTTCAATAGAAACAATAAAAATATTATGTAGCAATGTGGAGACAGATTCTCAGAAAGGATTTAAGATAAAGTAAAAGAGAAGTTACCATCAAAAACAGAAAAGTGGATATGAATTTGTAGACATTTGTACCAAGGTGTAGAAAAACTGCCAATGAAGTTCAAGGAAATCTGTGTGTATTACTACATACAATGGTTTTAATTTTTACATTAAAGACTATTCTCAACTTTAGATATTTTTAAATAAATGATTCTGAAGTCCAAAAAAAGAGAAAAAAACTGTACTTTATTCAAATAAAATTTGTTTTTTTAAGACAAATCTTGCCGTATGATGGTGGTACACTCCTTTAATCCCAGTACTCAGGAGGCAGAGGCAGGGGGATCTCTGTGAGTTCAAGGCCAGCCTGGTCTACAGAGATAGTTCCAGGGTAGGCTCCAAAGCTACAGAAAAACCTTGTCTCAGAAAAAAAAAAAGACAAATCTTTCAGTGGTATCAAGATGCATTACATACTCCAAAATAAGCTAATGCAAAGCCTTCTCCATAATCACATGTTGACTTCTTTTGGCAGAATGGTTGCATAAATGAAGCGCAGACATTCAAGTCAATGATAGAGCAAAACAAGGACCTCCCACTGGATGAAGTCTGGGGACCTCATGTAAGTAAAGAACTAAATTTGGCATTGAGATTAACAAAACTTAATAGAAACAATTTGGATTTAAATTGATTAGGGTAAAATCAAATACTACTTTTCAATCATTTAAAAAAATTCTTGTCTTTAATTTAATTTTTTATTCACTCTTTGGTACAAATTTAATATTCCCTGATGAAAATCTGCATTTGTATGTCATCAAAAGGCCACTATACATAAGCGTATGGAGACTGAGCCTTTTGAAAGACAAGTTGTCTTCCAGGTCTGGAGAGGTGGCCCAGAGTTAAGAGCACATACTGCTCCTACAGAATGAAAGAGTTCAGTTTCCAGAACCATATTTGGAGGCCCAACTGCTTATAACCCTAGGTCTAGAGGAACACGACATCTCCAGCCTCCGCAGGCACACATGCACACTTGCACACGCACACACCTGCACACACATATACACCTACACATACATACACACACCTACACATGCACACAAACCTTGCACATACACACACACACCTGCACATACACACACACCTTGTACATACAACACATCTTCACATACACACACACACCTTGTACATACACACGCACCTGCACATACACACACACCTTGTACATACAACACATCTTCACATACATACACACACACACAATTTTAAAAATAATGAAAATAAATGTTTTAAGAATTTATCTTTTTTTTTCTTAATTTAAGAGTTAATTAGTCTGTGAGCTCTCCCCTGGCCATCATTCCCAAGAGAACCTTCATCTCTTGTCCCTTTTTTCTCCAGTATTATGAACATTTATAACTCTCCGACATATTATGCAGCCTACTTTAAAAATCTCATTACCTAGCTGACCAGGTTTGGAGAGATGGCTAGGTGGTTAAGAGCAGGTACTGCCCTTGCAGAGGACCCGAGTTCTGTTCCCAGAACCCATGTCAGATGGCTCCTAACTGCCTGTAACTTCAGCTTTAAGGGATCCTGTTGTAATGAGGTTGCTTGTTTGTTTCCCAGCCACCTGGCAGCTCAGACCCGAAATAACCACACAGAAACTGTATTAATTATCGCACTGCTTGACCCATTAGCTCTAGCTTCTTATTGGTTAACTCTTACATCTTAATTTAACCCATTTCTAGTAATCTGTGTATTTGCCATGTGGCTGTAAAGTTCAGGCATCTGTCTCTGGCGGGGCTACATGGCTTCTTGTTGACTCCACCTTCTTCCTCCCAGCATTCAGCTTAGTTTTCCCCACCTAAGTTCTGCCCTGCTATAGGTCCAAAGCAGTTTCTTTCTTTTTTTTCAGATTTGTTCATTTATTATATATACAATGTTCTGTTTGCATGTCAGAAGAGGGCACCAGATCTCATTATAGATGGTTGTGAGCTACCATGTGGTTGCTGGGAATTGAACTCAGTACCTCTGGAAGTGCAGTTAGTGCTCCTAACCTCTGAGCCATCTCTCCAGCCCCAAAACAGTTTCTTTAGTAATCAATGGTAATCACAGCATACAAAGGTAAATCCCACATCAGGATCCAGCTCCCTCTTCTGCCCTCCAGTCATATACATACACAGAGACACACATAATTCAAGCTAAAAAAAAATCTTAAATAAACAAAAGCAAAAATAAAACAAAACGCAAGGTTTTCTCTGCTTGCTGCTGTATTCTCAGTCTCTAACTCACTGTAGATAATGAATATGTATTCATAGGACTAATTAATATTTAGTTAATGTATTATTACATTATGTATTTATAGAACTAATTAATAAACTATAGCTCATCCACCTCTACTAAGGAATACTTATTACTTAAAATCATGAGGAATTAAAGTAATAATGGATTCAGTTCAAACCAAACTTGCATTCCTGGTTATTTTTGTTGTTGTTGTTGTTTTTAAAAAAACAACACCCAAGGATTTGGGGTTGGGCAAAGGTGTAAAGAACACTGTCTATAGAACAAATCTTACATAGGGCATCTCAGTACTCCGAGGTGTTATCTAGCAAGAACGTACATGAGGAAGCGATGGGTAGGTTGGTGGTCAACAATCATGGAGTTTGCCTGAAGCAGCATGAAATAGTAGAGCTGTTCACAAGCTTCAGGAGACATCAGCAATGATCCTCTGGGAGACTTGTTAAAATAGATAACTTGATCTCACCTAGATCTTAAGTAGGGCCCAACCCTCACCCCCATCTTACCCTTTTTCCTCCTCTCCACTCCACTATGCTCCCTTCCCTTCCCTTTTCTTCTCTTCCCAACACTGGAGATTAAACCCAGGGCCTTGTGTGAGCTATGCAAGTGTCTGATCCAGCTCCTAAACTTGCATTTCTAAAAGTCTAAGATGAAGATGGCATTGTTGATCTGGGGACTATCCCTGGGAAACCACTGAAATAGTTTGCAACCTGCAAAGATTCTGGAGGGAACACATCGGGCCCTCAATCTCCATTTGACCATATGAGAAGCAGAGCTCATTGTGAACAGCATGAAAACCCAGCTACAATCTGGGTAGTGTGGAAAGTTGGTACTTATGATTCTCACTAAGCCCTGGAAAATAAGATTACTTCCTACTGCAGGGCATCACCCAACCCTGCAACAGGGACCATTTCTTCCTGGAACAATATATCTACAATGAGACAGAGAGTCTCTGATTCCCAGAGCGACATTGATTGCTGTCTGGCCTTTCTGCTTCTACAAGCATGAGTAGCATGTGCATGGGAGAAGTTGTAGTTGGACTTTTTCATTGGGACCATCAACTCCCCAATAAAAACTTAGAGACTTATTATTAATTATGAAAGCTTGACCAATAGCTTAGGCTTGCTTCTAACTAGCTCTTATAATTTAACCCATTTCTATTAATTTACTCTCTGCCTCATGACTCTATTACCTTACTCTGCAGTGCCCATCCTGCTCACACTGCATCTCTCTCACAGGCCTAGATTCCCCCTACTTCCTCTTTGCCAGGAAGTCCCACCTATACCTACTACTTAGCTATTGGCCACTTAGCTTTTTATTAAACCAATCACAGTGACACATCTTCACACAGTGTAAAGAAATATATCATAACAAGAAGTAGCTCTAGGCACTGTAAATTCTCAGTGAAAAATATCTGAAAGACTCACAAGAAAAAGTGGCATTTTTGTAGGTTCTTCAAGTCCATGGTGGAATAGGTAGGGACAACACAGGCACTGCAGGGCTGGCTACTTTTCTGTGACATGGCATGGGATCTGAATCTCTGAACATGACTGAGAATCCTAAACAAAGAAGTCCTTGGCTAGAAATGGAGTGAATTTGTTAGTCTAGGGCAGATTTGTTTTCTCAGACACTAAGAAGCTTAACCAAGTAATGGCTTACAAATGAAAAGAAAGGGGAAAGATAATAATTGAATGGGGAGTCCAACGATATGACAGGAAACAAACGTGACACAGAGGAGCATCCACTGGTGAGTATAACATAAAGGGGGCTGGAGAGATGGCTCAGAGGTTAAGAGCACTGACTGCTCTTCCAGAAGTCCTGAGTTCAATTCCCAGCAAACACATCATCTGTAATGATATCTCGTAATGTAAAGAGGGCTCTTCTGACCTGAAGGCATGAATGCAGGCAGAACACTGTATATATAATAGATAGATAGATAGATAGATAGATAATCTTTAAAAGGGAGAAAGAAAGAAAGGAAAAATGACAGAAAGAAAGAAAGAAAGAAAGAAAGAAAGAAAGAAAGAAAGAAAGGAGAAAGAAAGAAAGAAAGAAAGAAAGAAAGAAAGAAAGAAAGAAGGAAGGAAGGAAAGAAAGAAAGAATTAGAAAGAATTAAAGTACTTACATGTCTACATATAAAAATGCACACAATGATGCAGCCAAACTGGTCCTGGAGATCAGGGCCCTTTTGTGATGATAAGCAGAGGCCCCGTTCCCACACATAGTTCAAATGTCTCATATTCTTTTAATCAAGTTCATGGCTTCGTGCATTAAGCAACTCAGTAGACAAGAACTCTCAAAGTCCAGAAAATACTTTTTGAGACAGGGTCTCCCTACAGAGTCTTGGCTATCTGGGAACCCACTATATAGACGAGGCTGACCTCCAACTCAGAGATACACCCGCCTCTCTCTCTCAAATGCTGGAATTAAAGCATGTGCCACCACACCCAGAATATTTTACATTTTCAAGTTAGATTACAACAAAACTCTGAACCTTTTATTTGTTCTTCACTCACATATTTCCTACATACTTTTTATACATGTACCAGACATGCAGTGACAGAAAAGTAAACAGAGGCGAGAAATGGTAGAAGATGTGGGCTTTTACTACTTTCACCATGATGTATAGTTATATTTCATCAGATTGAACACATATGCTTTGTATGAAATAAATTATAGCATAACTCATTTCCAATACCTAGCATACTGAAGACAGACTATACCCATGGTAGCACTGGATTAAAGGGCCTCAAAGTGTAGGGGCAATAAAGAAATCAAGAAATAAATACCATCAGGTAAATCCAGTACTATTTATCCAACAGTTATAGACAGAATTTGGCTGCAGTCAGCATCCATGATATGGAAATAAGTATATAATCACAGGACAGATGGAAGTGCAAACTTCTAGACCCAGATAAACTTACCAGATGGTACAGTTGTGGGTGGCTGTCATTCTAAGTGACAAAATCCCATCCATTTCTAGTGGAACCCAGGAGTCTCACTCCAAGGTCCACCTTACCCACATAGGGCTAGACCCCCCTTGCAATGGGCTGAGTTGGATCTCTGCCTTGCTACTATAGCTATATCCACAGCAAACATGTCCCTTTAAAGTTTTACCCCTCCTGAAAAACTAATCCTCCCTCATCTGGGTCCTGTTCCCACACTCCTACTTGACATCCTGGTCATTCACCAAACTAAGGTCTACATGAGGCATCCCCTCAGAGGTTCCTCCCTGGACCATGAGCAAGGGCTGGTAGGGGATGTGGCATGCACACCTTGGTACTACAGTGGCAGAATAGAAAGGGGTAGTCATTGCATCTCTTTAATGACTTTCCAAGATAAATATATGAGAATATGAACTGGAGAGAATGATCAGTGGCTAGAAGCACTGACTGCTCTTGCAGAGGATCTGGTTTTGGTTCACAGCATCCACAAGGCAGCTTGCAAGCATGTATCACTCCAGTTCCCGGGTTTCTGATGCCCTCTTCTGACCTACACAGGTAGTGCATGTAGGTGGCACACTTAAATGCAGGCAAAAAATAATCATACACATAAAAAATGGGAGAAAGTAGAAACTTTTTGAATGGAAAAAAATAATAATAAATCTTAGAAAAAGAAAAAAAAATAAAATAAATAAATCTCATGCATGAATTGGATTTTGTTAAAGTCAGGAAATAACCTCTTTTTATCCTTTCTTCTTGCTCAGAACTATAGGACTTGTTTTTCTTATGCTATTGGGAAGCCTGGAGACCTAAGCCAACCATATGAGATTATAAACTCTACTAATAGAAACCATTTACTATGGCCCATGGACCATTCCGGAATGTATGTGTTTCGTGTGAGAGTCTTGGATCCAAACTTTAGGTGAGAGTAAATGTTTTATAATATTTTTCCCTTAATTTTTTTTGGTTTTTTTTGTTTAATTAATTGTCACCCAAACACCTAACTTTTGTTATTCTTATTATTCATATGTTTGCCTTTTATTTTGTGGTAATCATAGCAAATACTCTATGGAAGCAGGAGATGTTATGTCAACTGTTAATTGGATCAGTTGATTTGAAATTCCATTCCAGTACAGTGTCTCCTTAACACACACATTGGTTATTTTTCTCATTGGCATGACCAAACACCCAAAAAGAAACACATGAAGGAGGAAGGATGTATTTTGGCTCAGTTTGAGAGTAAAATCTCTCCTGGTAATAACAGCCTAGTGGCCCGACAGAGAAGCAGCTGGTCAAGAGCTGCAGTCAGGAAGCAGAGAGCAATGGATGCCAGGTTCAACTCTCTTTTCCCCACGGACCTTGCAACTGTGCCAGCCATGTTTAATGGGATCTTCCTTGGTCAGGCATTTCCCCAGAGGTGTGTTTCTATGGTGATTCTAAAGCCTACCCTATGCAAGGCCCTGGGCTCCATCCTCCCACTATAAGGAAACAGAGCAAATGGAAGCCTGAAAGCCCACTTCTGAAGGAAATCCTGAGGGCTGCATGTTTCTCTCCCTGTTCACAGGGATGAAAATACTTCCTTCCAAGCAAGGGAGCAACCTAAGGGAACCATTCCGGTTCAAAGGCAACTTAAGCAACTCCCTGGCAATGGGCAAGCAGAAGAGTGATGTGATAGCAGAAGGGGCTCTTGCCAATGTCAGGAGAAAATATGGAGCCTTTCTGGTGGCTTTCATTATGCACCCCATGAAAGCAAACGAGACTTTGACAGGCATGGCAGTACTAGCCTGTCATCCCATTACTCCGAGGACTGAGTTCACTAGACCCTCTTGATTTCAGGAGTTCAAGGCCAGCCCAGACAAGAGTCTCAAAGTAACAAATAAATATATAAATTAATAAGGAAATTAGGCTTGAGTCATTATCCTAAGGACCACCCTGCTACTTCAAGAGTGAAATAATCTCAAAAGTAAAAGAGTATGTGTGAAAATCACAAGGGATCCAGGATTTGAGAAATGGTTGGCAAGCGATCAAATAAAACGAGTGTTGTCTGAGTCCTGGAAGGTCATGGGAAACCTGCTAGGAGATGGAATGTGTAACACACCCAAGCCATGCTATGGATGATGAGAGGTAACATTTGGGCACTCAGTACATAAGACTCTCAGCCATGAAAATGACCACGTAAATATTTTAACATATTTCCATTCAGTTTTAATAATTTCATATATGCATGCAATGTACTTTGACCATATTTGCCCCTCATTCCTCCCTCTTACTCCTTCCAGACATGGCGTCCCCCTCCCACAACAGGTCATGTCTTTTGCTTAAATGGCTCACTGGCTCTAGTTTGTGCTACTGTAGACTCATGGGTGTGGGGCTATCACCTGGACTGTAGTTAACCTCCCAGGGGCCATACCAGTAGAGAAAACATGCGACCCTTCCATCAGAAGCCATCAACTTCCAGGGGTTCCTCACCTAGGGATGGGAGCTCCATGATTCCCTCCTCTCTGGGTACCGAAATGTTGGCTGGTTTGATCTTGTGTAGGCAACCACAGCCACTGTGAGTTCTTGAGTGTGGCAGGTCTGTCATGTCTAGAAGACTCTCTTTGGCTATGATACACCCTGTCATTTGACCCCCACACCTTCTTCAATGGCCCCCAGATTTGGCGGGAAGGAGTATGGTATAGATGTCCTATTTGTGGCCGAGCACCCCACAGACACTTTCTACACTTTGACCATCTGATGATGCAGTGCGATCGGTAATTGAAAGTCCACTAGGCTAGCTTACCAGAGATACAGCTTTAATAAAACAGAAGGAAAAACTTACACCAGAATCCCAATCGTCCAGAATGCTGGGTCCAGGCCAGGGAGAGAGAGGGCGGGGAAGAGCACCAGCCAGGTTTATCGTAAACTTTTGCCTTAGGGCAACACGCCCCACGGACAGAATGTGATTGGCTGAACTCCCCTATCAACCATTCACTAACATCTCTGATCAGGTCTGAGGGCTGCACTAATCTACGGTTATAGATATACAAATTCAGCAGGCAATTGGTACTATGTTCATTTAGCAAGATAATAGAAATAAGTTTACTCTGGGGCCTATGAGCTCTCCAGTCTTGGTTTATTGGCCAGATTTGCAGTCAGCATTTTCTCTTGTGGCATAAGCCTAAAACTACAAAGGTACCATTAGCAGGGAGGGGGAGGGATGATCTTAATGGAGGTGGAACAATATAATAGTAGAACCCAGGTGATACGAGGGAAAGAAGAAGGAGAAGGAGTTTTTAGGGGAGCAAGGGCTAGAAGGAGAGGGCCTAGGAGGAAGTGGAGGAAACAAAAACTAACACTAAGGATGTTTGAAAAAGCTCCACAGAAACCTACTATCATTTTTTATCTTATCATTTAAACAATCTTTTTTATTTTACATACCAATCCCAGTTCCCCCTCCCCATTCCTCTTGCTTTTCCCATCTTCTCCCCACTCTACTCCCATCCACTCCTCATAGAGGGTAAGGCCTCCCATGGGGAGTCAACAAAGTCTGACACATCACACTGAGGCAGTCCCAAGCCCCCAACCCCCACTGTATCTAGGCTGAGCAGTGTATCTCTCCATAGTGAATGGGCTCCAAACAGCCAGTTCATGCACTAGAGATAAATCCTGATCCCACTGCCAGTGGCCCCACAGACTGCCCAAGCCACACAACTATCACCCACATTCAGAGGACCCAGCTCGGTCCTATTCAGGGTTTCCAGCTGTCAGTCTAGAGTCAGTGAGCTTCCACTACCTTGGGTCAGCTGAGAAACCTACTATTTTATAAGCTTCATGTGCACGTGCATGCACGCGCACACAAGTTTAATTAGAGTTGCCTTACTCAGACTATAATGGTCCTTCCAGAAGTCATAGGCTTCTGGGGAAAAAAAGCCCAGAGCAAGGTGTAAAGCACCTCTTCTTGAGTTGTTGGTCCTACCCCAAATGAATACAACCGATCTCCATTGTTTTTGCTGCCCAGAAGAACTGAGTAGTTAGACACTAAAGTTGAAGACACCACACACTTTGATGACAGGACACAGGAATCAAATTGGTACTGACCAGGAAGCTTCCTCCCTATTGGGTGATGTTCATATTACTGGAAGGTGCTACACAGGCAGCTTGTGGGAAAGACAGCCTAAGCCACCTGTGAACCCTGTGAGATACAATAGCAACTTGTATGGCAAATAATGCCATGTGTGGTGCGATAGTGGCGTGTATGTCATGGGGGTTACTACATAAAAATTTGATCTTCTGTTCCTAGTTGGAAAATAGAAAGTAGAAAAATAAGCTTAGTGATATAAAAGAAAATGACAGACAGACTGACAAACAGAAAGATTAGATCAGTCAGCCTATGTCTGTGAACCGTAGAACCCTAGGAGAAGATGAGGATCAGTCCTGACTCCAGATGAAAAGGCAGATAAGATACTTCCCGAAGAACTGTAACTACAAATATCTCCTCCTGAGGTTTGAGCCCGGCTTTAGGTTAGCTGAGTGTTCCCCAGAGACAGTACTCCAGCTAAAAGTTTAATCTGAAACAGTCCCGGTATGTTTATGCCTCCCACATGCTCAGCAGAAACAAATGAATATCTCCTCTGGAAGAGTTCACTTTAAATGTAAACATCCAAGAAAGCCAGAAGGAAACATTCTAATAAATAAACCACACAGGAACAGAATAAACCACAGACAAGAACCAGTATAAACATCCACCTATAAAACCAACCCACCAAACCTCCCAATGTTAGGCCTGTTAGACACAAGACACAAAATATGGATGCTTATGTCTTAGTCAATGTTCTGTTGCTGTGGAGAGACGCCATGACCATAGCGACTCTTATAAAGGAAAGCATTTCAGTTGGGGCTTGCTTACAATTTCAGAGGTTTTGTCCATTATCAGCATGGCAGGGAACATGGCAGCACCTGTAGACATGGTGCTGGAGAGGGAGCTGAGAGTTCTACATCCAGGCCTGCAGGTGGAAGGAAGAGAGAGGAAGCCTCTGTGCCTGGCTTGGGTTTCTTAAACCTCAAAGCCCATCCCTAGTGACACCTCCTTCAACAAAGCTACACCTCCTAGTCCTTTCAAATAATGCTATTCCTTGTTGACCAAGCCTTCAAATCTATGAGTGTGTTCTTATTCAAACCATTACTTTTATTAACAGCTTGAATGTTAATAGTTTAAGAAAAAGGCTTTAATGGTGTGATGAAAAAAATAAGGAAATATCAACCTAGTTGTCTACCAATAGATAGATGAAGAATTGTGAATATATACACAATAGAGTTTTATTTAGCCTCAAAAAGTACAAAATTAATATTATTTTCAGAAAAGCAGATGCAACTGAAGCTCATCATGCTGTGTGCAAGAAACAAAGACTCTGAGAGACAGATCTTTTTTTAAAATCTAAATTTAAAAAAAATATGTAAAAGTAGAAGTAGTACTATTTGGGGTGAGGAAGGGTACCAGTGGGGAACAGGGAGGAAGGGCAGAATTTTTGTTCCTCCCTTAATTTGGTCATGATCTTGACTTTACATCCTATACCACTTATCACCAATACACCTAATGTATGTAAGAAATGAGTAGGAGAAATGGAAAAAAAGGGGAAAACCAAAAATAGTTCACATATAACTAGTATAAAAATAGACACAGAGACTAAAGTTATTGTTTGTTTGAGAGAGGGTTTCTCTATGTAGCCCTGGCTGTCCTGGAACTTGCTATGTAGACCAGACCAGCCTTGAACTCACAGAGATCTGCCTCTCTCTTTATCCCCAGTGCTGTGATTAAAGGCGTGGGCCACCACACTGAGCACTTCATCTTCATGTACTGCATGTCTATGACCAGCACCGCATTCTGTTTCCTGGCAGAAGATATTTTTAGTTCTTTGGAATCTAAGCTCTTAGCATCTCCTA